GGCTCGCCCGGGCCACGGGCCGGCCCAGGCTCGAGCCGACTCCCCAAAGTGGGGCTCGGTTCCACCGAGCCCGAGCCGAGCCCGGGCCTTCCGAGCCTTCGAGCTTTTTTGCCACCGCTAATCTCATGGGATCCATAACTTTTCAACCACACATTTCATCAATTTTTATCAAAATCTACTAAAAATCGGTCTCATCCTTTGGAGGGGATTGCACGTGAAGTAATAATAAGATACTGTACTTTGTGTGATCTAATCATTCTCTTTGCCATAGTATGATGAGAGTACTGTAGAATCTTTTTGGCAAAAGAGGGGGGTAAAGAGACGAGGTGAGAGACAAAACACTTGACGATATGAATTGCACGAGACTAGGAGATTGTACAATTTTAAGGAAAAGTGTTTAACCATTGTCCCTACTGAATAGATTGAGCATAATGACATTACATGCAAATGTTGTAGGCCAAGAGTTTAGGCACGAAGCTGAACTATTTTATATATCCAATAATCCGAAGTCGAGTGATTTTCGTGGAGGTGCATTTGGCTACATTAATGGTGTAGTTGAATCAATAATTTTTTCGAATTTAGAGTTCGTTCATAAGTTTACATTTTCATCATTTAGTAGACTAGCAGTGAAAATGTTTAATTATTTATGTTGGGCAAATTGTTGTCACACTTTATATATGCTGCTTCCTTGGCCGTGTCTCGTGTGTTATTGCATTGTCTTCTTCCTTTGGTGAACAACAGCACCTGCTTCATGATCTCATTTAGTGTACCTTTTCTTCTCCAATTTTTTTTTGCAATAACAGTCTTATTGTGTGTTCTAAGTGGGCATCCTAAAGTAACCGGAGTTGGGTCCTCTTTGGTTTCGACTTGTTTGAGGTTTTAATTGATTGGAGTATATGCTGAGCCCGAAAAGGCCTTGGTGATCTCTCATTCCGCATAACAATTTAGCTAGTATATGCATCTATTTTTATAAAAATCAAGTGTACAAAAAATTCTTATGATACCCGAATCAATGCCAGTTAAAGATTGCATCGAAGTTTAAAAGAAAAAAGATTGGAGGGTCCAAAATAATGTTTTTTTTTGTTAATTAATTAACCCCTAAAAGAATATGGATTATTCTACTTTCACTAATAAATTTTGACATCAGTCTTGACGAATGTGTATGTGTCAGTTAATGATTGGATGGAAAGAGTGAATTTTTTAAAACGGATCAATGATAAAAGGATTAATCTACTTGTACACTTTATGGTGTACATAATGATTTACACCCCTCTCACATGGAGAGGGGCCCACAAATATTTTATTGTTGTGTGAGCCCCCTCCATGTGAGGAGGGTGTAAGGCTATGTATACATCATTATGTACACATAACATGGTCCATGATAAAATGTCATTTGACATTATGTCAATCTGCCTGTCAACCTGTATGATAACGCAGCGTGATAGAAAGAATATAAAAACTTCCAAAGCAATTAAAGAGACCAGTAAGAAAATAATAGAATAAGATATATTTACTTATATTAATAAATTAATAGGTCAACTCAAATCTCGAGGACAAGTGGTTCAGAAATAATCACTACTGTAGGTGGCATTGAACAATGAATTAAATAACCGCTGAATTGGTGATGATTAAAAGTTGTTAGTGTAGGGGTGACTCGAATTCTATGAAAAAATCCATTGGGAGTTGATAGTATGATTTAGGGGTGGGAAAAAATTGATCGAACCCACTCGAACCGTCCAAACCGAACCAACCTGACTGGGTTGGATCGATTTTTTTGTTATTTTTACACGGATTAGGTGGGTTGATTGTGTATGCGGGTTGGTTTGGGTTTGGTCTGGTCGGATCGGGTTATGGGTTAACTCAAGAAAATCAAATAAATCCGTCCAACCCAACCCGTCACTTTAAAAAATAAATAAATAAATAAAATACTTAGAAAAGTAAAAGAAACCTAAAAAGTATGAGTAAATAGTGTAACTGTAATTACCTTGGTGTATTTTAGAGGAGGAGCTTATTGTTCTTCTCACAAGAAATATAGTATAAGTTTTTTATGAAATGTTAAATGCAATTTGTTCTTTGTAGGCTAGTCTTATAGGGATTGAATAAGATAATAGATAAATTTATTTATTTACTATTTAATCTTGTCTATTTGAATTTAGTATAATAGAANTCTCTCTCTCTCTCACTCTCTACAAATCTTAGCAGATGCAAAACCGACCCTTTTCATTTCTCTCCCAAGCACATTCTGTATTTTTTTTTGTTTTTTCATTCCTTTTGTGTTTTTGGGGGGGCGAAATGAACCGGCGGATGTGATGGGGGCAGGGTTTTCGCAGGTTTTCCCGTGTTTCAACCCGTCGGCCGGTGCGAACCGGAGCGAAGAGGATGTCATTTTCTCAGCTACTGAACCGCTTGACGAAACCCTAGGCCATTCCTTCTGTTACGTCCGGTCCTCTGCTCGCTTTGTGTCCCCTACTCATTCTGATCGCTTTGTTTCCCCCTCTCAGTCACTCCGTTTTGACGATCCGCAAAGACCTAAACTGCCCGGGATACTTGATTGGGTTGGGTTCCAACCTTTACACGGGTTGGGTTAGGTTAAATTTTTTATCAAACCGATCATATTGGATTGGGTTTGGGTTGAGGCAAAAACCGACCCAACCCAACACATGTCCACCCCTAGTATGATTTGAAGAACTTTTGAAAGAGTTCAAAACAGATAAGGAGAAGGTGACGCCAACCCATTTGGCCAATTTTGGAACTCTTATTTCAACTCAAATTCTCTGTTATTAGTTTTACTCATTGTATTGGGACTTCACTTTATATTATACTCTTCATTGTATTATATTATTCTAATATGTATAGATTCTTGTATTACAGATATGTGGTGTATTATACATATTTATTTGATCGACTCAAACGGATCCACATTAATAAAGAGAGACTAGCAAATAGAGAGATCATGAGAGTGTCTTGTGAGAATAATATATTGTAACTCTTTACTTTTGATTTTTCCCATAAATATTGGGGGTTCAAAAATAATGTTTTTTTGTTAATTAACCCTAAAAAGAATATAAAAACTTCCAAAGCAATTAAAGAGACAAGTCAGAAAAGTTAATTAACAAATTGGTTAAATGCATATGAAAATCAATATAATTTAATTGTTACAAAAGGTTAAATGAAATGGACAAAATGCAACAAAAAAATAGGGAACAGTTGATATAAAATTAACTTTTATACATGTCGAAAAGAGTAGAGTGGTAGTGTTTTTAAATTCTTATAAAATGTGAATTTTTGGAAGTTAAAAGACAATTGGTTAAGTGAATATTGCGAGATATTCGATAAAAAGATCCAACAACGTGACAGAAAAATATTCTAAAGATTTGCCAGTGGAAGATGTATTAGTAAATTAATGAGTAATGCTATTCATCCCCACTGAGGTTGAGTCCTAATCTATGTGGCAATTACATGGTATTAAATGGTAGATTCATTTAAATACAAAATCAAATGATCATTTAACGAAGTCTATCATTTAATGTCATGTAATTGCTACATAAATTGTGGCTCAACCCCAATGAAGATGAATAGCATCGTTGTAAATTAATAGGTTTACTCAAATCTCGATGACAGTTGTTCAGAAATAATCACTAATGTAGGTGGCATTGAACAATGAATTAAAGGGTCACTGCTGCACCTGGTGATGATTAAAACTAATGGGAGTAGCATTAGAATAAAATTTGGACTCTAAAAAATTCCATTAGAACAGCAGATCTGATGCTAAATTTCATCCTGAGAGAAGCAGCAGGACCTGAAAAGCATTCAAAGTACTTCTAATGCTTTGGAGAGTAATAATTGACAAATTTGACACTTAAAACTGACTTATTTTCATAAAAATTTTCAATTTCAAATCAAACTATTGTAGAAGCTTGACCAGATTTTCAAAATTCATGTAGGAAGATCCTCCAGGCACAGTCGCCTCCTCTGCTTTCCTCTTCCACTCCATAGCTTTCTCCTTCATTTTCTTCCCTTTCTCGCCGTCCATAAGCTCTTTTACGAGCTTTTCCACCTCATCTCGCTTCACATTATTGTCTATTTCCATTCCCATATCCCATTCCACACAACTGTACCTACAATTTGTTTGTTGCTCAGCAAAGAAAGGCCAGCAAATCACAGGCACACCACCACCTATACTTTCTATAGTTGAATTCCACCCACTGTGTGTCAAGAACCCTCCAATTGCAGGGTGTTTTAGAACTTGTTCTTGTGGGCACCAGCTGATTAACATGCTTCTATCTTTTGTTTCTGTCCCGAATTCCGGCGGTAACATGGCTGAATCACCGGCGACAATATCAGGCCTAATTATCCACAAAAATGACTTCTTACTATTTGCTAATCCCCATGCAAATTCAGTCAGTTGTTGTGCAGTTACTACAGTTATGCTCCCAAAATTCACATACACAACTGAATTTGGTTCTTTAGTGTTCAGCCAGTTAATACATTCCGAATCTTCCTTCCACAGACTCGAGCTCAACGAATTGTATCTTTTGTCGTGAATGTGATTCATCATCAGTTGCAGAGGCCCGACAGTGTAAATGCGCGGATACATGGCAGAGAGCGCATCCAAAACATCCTGTTCTAGAGCATCAAATGTATTGAAAATGAGTGCTTTGGCTTTGGAAACAGCCTCAACTTCACTCGTCAAAAAATTGAGCATTAAGTCATTTGAATCAGTTGTTCTGATGAAGCTTGGAATATCCCTCAATCGAATATCCTTCATTCCAGGAACCCAATCAAGAACTGTTTCCAAGTAACCATTTGTTACCTGGCTCATATCTGCAAATTCGTGTAAACTTTAGCAAAAGAATATTGGATTTTGATATTTGTACATAAAAATGGTATATGAGCACCGAAAATAATGTGGAGGGAAAATATTGGATGAAAAAATTGATTGTATTTTAAACTGGTAAATGGTAAAATGCGATGTGGTATTATGTAATCTCTTATATAAATCTTAATGTACGTGTAGCAAGATCCAAGAATAATAACATCATGAGTGGTTGAATCACGTGATAATTGATATGTTGATTACGTTTTGAATACGACACTTTCTCAAAAATGTAGTATCTTTGCATGAATTGAAGTTCGATGAATTGGACTATCGTGCAAGTATTGGATTGGACTATGGCATGCCTTATCCTTCTCATAGTCCAATATTGGCGTAATCATACTTGACACCAATGTGATATCAGAACACCAAAGATTTCTCAACGCATTTTTCGGTGAAATAATTGAAGCATCTTGCTAGAGAATCTGGGAGTAAGGCTGAAAGCTTGGTTGTTCATGGAAGAAATCAAGATAGAAATATTGGCAAAAATATGAGGGACGGATCGAAATCCAAACACGCAAAGAAAATATGTCACTTTTGTAAAAAGAAATGGCATATTAGAGTTGATTGCTTTGCTTTGAAAATCAGAAACAATGTTGATAGTGCTACTAATAAAGGAAAGCAACATGTTAACACAGTGGATGCTGATGTTGTGGAAGATGGGTAAAGTGGACGAGATCTTCTTGTGATTTTTTACAAGGGTTCCAAACCTTGTGAGGAATGGTTCTTTACTCGACATGTACTTTCTAATTTCTCTATGTGTCCCAACAGGGACTGGTTTATAACATATGAAGGAGTTTCGAGATGTGCAGTGATTATAGGAAATAACGCGCCTAATTGTCGGAGTTGATACAGTCTGGATCAGAATGTTCGATTGGGCTATTAGAATACTTATAGATGTAATGCATGTTCCAGAATTGAAACGAAATCTCATATCATTGAGTGCACTCGACTCAAAAGGTTATAGATACACTGGTGAAAGTTTTGAAGGTGAGCCATGATGTTCTTGTTGTCATCAAAGAACATAAAAGTTCTACACAATTGTACAATTTGCAGGGTTCCACAGTAATAGGGGATGTAGCCGTTTCTACTTCTTTTTTGACGGATGAATAAATTACAAAACTTTGACATATACGGCTCGAGGATATAAGTGAGAGTAGTATGGTAGAGTTGAGTATGAGAGGGCTTCTTAATGAGCAGAAGACTAGTAAGATAAATTTTTGTGAGTATTATGTCTTTGGAAAACGGAAAAGAGAAAGATTCACTAAAGGAAGACATAACACGAAGGGAACACTTGAGTATATCAATTCAGATCTTTGGGGACCGGACATGGTACCTTCAAAAGGCGGTGCTTATTAATTGTTGACAGTGATTAATGATTCTTCAAGAAAGTTTGGATATTCTTCTTAAAGTAGAAGAGTGATATGTTTGGAACCTTTAAATAGTGGAAAACAATGATAGAAAGGTAGACTGGAAAGCAAGTGAAATGTATACGCACAAATAATTGATTGGAGTTTTGTTCGGATAAATTCAATAGCTTCTGCAGGGCTGAAGGCATCTTGAGACACTTGACGGTGCCTAGAACTCCTCAACAATATAGTGTGCAGAACATATGAATAAAACTTTGATAGAAAAGATTCGTTGTATGCTTTCAAATTCTGGGTTGTCTAAGACTTTGTGGGCTAATACTGCTACTGCAGCTTGTTTTCTAATTAATTGTTCACCCTCATATACCATTCAAAAAAGACACAAGAAGATGTATGGTCTAGTAAACTTTATTGTTATTCTGATTTGAAAATTTTTATGTCTCCTGTTTATGCTCACGTGAATAATGGGAAGTTGGAAGTTGGAGCCTAGTATATTTCTTAGGTATAAATTAACTTTGAAAATGTATAAATTGTAGTGTCTTGAGAGAAAAAAAGGTGGTGGTTAGTAGAGATGTAGATGAATTTGTTATGGTTCATGAATCATCTTGTGGAGATTCTGATAAAATTAAGGGACACAGTCATTCAATTCAAGTGGAGCTAAAAATTGGTCCAGAGTGACGATCAGAATTTTCAAAACAGTCCATAGATCAGTCTAATTCAGAGCCTACCGACGTTATTGTACTTATCCTAATTATTGGCAACATGGGGCCAAAAAAGGAAAGAGGCCGTTGAGGCAACTTGCAAATCCATCCCCAGGACCTTTAACTTATAAAATTAAGTGGCTGTACAAAATTTTCTGTTAAAAACTACATTTGGACATTAGTTTCAGAGATCCACAAGATTGAAATAGTTTGTAATATACCTTTGAGAGGCGTATAGCCTCTATCCACAAGAGGCCGATACTGCGTGTAACCGAGGAAACCACAAGCGCTGGTAGTCCAGAACAGCACTTCGGGAAGTCCAAACTGCTCAGCCGCCTTGACAGTAAAGCTCATGACTCCATCAGACACTATGCATGTCACCGGAGGCACTTCTGGTGCGGCGTTATTGAGCTTCGTCAGCAGGCTACAAAAAGGCAGCAAGCAAGTTTTGGATGTAGATTCACATAGTGATGGTATGTCTTGGGTGGCGTCGGCATCAGATGGCGGCAGGCCGTCAGGAATAGTCTCAAACCGGAAGTCCGGCAGGCCCTCAATGGCGGCGGGACCATGAGACTTGAGCAGGCGTTTGTAGTTGTACTCTGTGTAAACAAAGGTTATGTAGAATCCATGGTGGTGGAGAAGCTTGGCCAATTTGAGCATCGGGTTTATGTGACCCTGTGCTGGATATGGTATGCATACAGCATGGGGCTTATCACTTGCAATGGAACCCATCTTTATCTCTGTCTCACTCACACACACACAGAGGGAGGTTGAAGGTGGAAGAGAAGAGGCAGTGATGAGTGACCTTAAATAGCAAAAATGTCAAGAGAGTACAATATTTTGGCAGTCTGTAATTAGAGTTTTCACACGTGGTTTATGATTACATTCCTAAAATATTTTTCAGGCATGATGGCTCATTTGAATGTATTAATATTGAAATTTATGTACTCGTTTGAGCAATCGAATTATTCGTTTGAGTTTAATAATTGTGATGTCATATTAGACACTGTATGATTTAGATTAAAGTCAAATTTTTAATAGATTTTGATAAAAGTTGATAGAATATGTGGTTCAGTGATTAAAAATTTGTGATTCTTGATTTAGACTAATCAAGTTTTTTAATTGAACCAATCGATGACTAAGATTTGAATCTAAAAATGTCAACTTGTTGCGTGATATAGCTCAAAATCTTATAGACATTTATTATTATTATTCAACGTTGAATTTATATCGACATATTTGAGAAGCAAGAAGGTACGACTTGTTAATCTATTTCTTTACTATTAGCCTATGCTTGACATACATTAAAATTTTCATTCTCATTCTTCTACTCAGTTTCAACCACACATTCTTCAATAAAATAATATTTTTCATCATATCAATAACTTTTCTTTCTTTTTCAACCACATTCTCCATCAATCTACTATTCCAAAATACATTCTTCCAAAATAATATACATCAAACACACCTTAAAATTTAATTTAATTTCAGATGATTGTGTGAATTTTAAATTAATTTAGCTTCTAACTTTGGCAAATGGTTTCCATGTGTGATGATTCTCCCACTTGCCTTCCATTCAAATGCCAAACTGTCTACTGCCGTCCTATAAGCCAGGACAATCTAATTTTTAACCATATAATCTCCTATTAAATACTATTTCAAAATACGGCTTTGCTAGGGGTACATCACCGTGTACATCGGGGTGTACACCCCTCTCACATGGAGGTGAGGCCCGCTCTAATAAAAAAATATTTTATAGAGGTGGGTCCCACCCCCATGTGAGGGGAGTGTAGACCTTAATGTACATCTTTTGATGTACAAGTAGATTTATCCTTCAAAATATATCTAGAAGGTTGAAAGAGCCACTGGCATGATTCCATTCCACGAAATCTAATATTTTATTGATCAATAATTGTGGCAAATATCAAAATCAGATCATATAATATTATTAAAAAATTAGGCACATTTCTTTGGGTAGCAAAGTTGAGCCGTGATTTGTTTTTTGTGGAAATTGTAAGGAATGTCCACTTGCCTCTACCCACTTACAAAAATGACAACTTTCAAAAATCCTTGTAAAAATGACCATTTTGATATATTTTAGACCAAAATATTCATGGTCCACAATTTATGATTCCATTCAAGGACAATAAAATGGACATTTTTGCAAAAAAAATATTGGCTGATGAAATCTTGACACAAAACCTGCTCCATTTATTGCAAATGACAAGATGTCAAATCACAATTAATACTATTTTTTGCATTGACACAGAAATGTCGAGAACGACATTTCAAGTGTAGAGAAATGTCATGTTTGGAATGAAATGTCCTTCTAGACATTTAATATGTCGAGAATGACGNAAAAAAAAAAAACCCATAAAGCTGGAAAACATAAACCCAGCAAAGCATTAGGAAAGTATTTTCAGCAAAAAGTAGGCAAATTGGCGCGTGGAGTGAAAAGGTAGAAAAGCAATGCCATGGAAAACTTTTGCTATCAAACATTGATTAAGGTTGGAAAAGAAAAATATTTGGCTACTTCCATGGAAAACCAAGCCCATCAAACAGGGCCTTAGCTTCTAACTTTGGCAAATGGTTTCCATGTGCGATGATTCTCCCACTTGCCTTCCATTCAAATGCCAAACTGTCTACTGCCGACCTGCCGTCTAACTTTGGCAAATAGTTTTTTTTTAAAATAGATGGACATGATGATGACAAATAAGATATTGTCAATCAGTATTGTACATGTTGATTCGGCGGGACAATGGGCAAAACTAAGCCTATATTTGACTCCAATTGTTTTTTTAAAAACTCATTTTTAACCATATAATCTCCTATAAATTAATTTTATATGTCAATTTAAAATATTTTTTTTATTTTTAATCACACATTCTTCAATTAAATATTATTTCGAAGTATATCTGTTTGGTATCCATTCTTTTTTTCATTCTCATTCTTCTACTAATTTTCAACCACACATTCATCAATAAAATAATGTTTTCCATCACATCAATAACTTTTCCTTCATTTTCAACCACAAAAAAGGTGTGATTTGACACAGAGAATGCATTTTTTTCTAGAATAATGGTTACCAAACGGTGCCTAAGCCTCAATTTGGTAACCATTTTTCTACAAAAAAAATGCATTTTTTGTGTCAAATCACACATTTTTGTGTCTCTTTCCAACCATGGACTCACTTGATGTGAAAGAAAAAATGTATTATTTGAAGAAAGAATGGCTCCCATTTTGGTTCACATGATTCCATTCCACGAAATCTAATATTTTATTGTGGCAAATATCAAAATCGGATCATATAATATTATTAAAAAAATTGGCACATTCCTTTGGGTAGCAAAGTTGAGCTGTGCTTTGTTTTATTTAATGAGTGGACTTTTGATGCCATGAACCACGCCGAGATCGTTCTAACAATAAAAAAGTGTGATCCCACAAATCGAGGAAAGATTTTCTGTTCTTCGCCGGATTACATGTTGGTGGGTACATTATGATAAATAATAACAAAATGACCTCAATAACTAGGATTTTACTAATTGCGGGGTGCTATATTTTATTATTTCTCCATTGTGATTGACATTCTCTCACAAAAGTAGGGGTCCACATTCAATAAAAATTGGTGGGTCCCTATTGTGAGGGAGATTGTACGCCAAAGTGCTCAGTATACATATGACAAATATCTGATAATTATCAGCAAAGTGCGAGGAAAACGTATGTTTTTTTTAGATCAATAAAGTGGTCTTCGTTGGGATAACAAGAAACACTTGAATATTTGAGAATAAGGTAATGTTATTATTCAATCTAATCTCAAAGGTGTTTAGCATTCGTCTATATGGCCGCCACATGTTTTAATTAATACTAATACACTGTAATTTTATTGAATTAATTTGAGAGAGAAGAATTGATAGTAAAAATGTCTACGCTATGAGAGCAAGAAATAAAAAATGAAATGGAGAAGGATGGATTGTATATAATCGGAGGAAATGTATTGTTAGGTTCCATTTGTATATTTGCACAATTTTTCAAAGAAATGGCCCATTTATTTCTCGAATACTCGATATTATTTGATTGCCCTCTTATTGTTTGAAAACACACTTCACTTACAAGAGAAGTGCTGCACATACAGAAAAAAAATTTCACAGAATTGTAACGGAATACTCACACATGGGTGAGGCCCGCACATTTTTTTTTCTTTTTAAATACACAATGGGACCCCCAGTTGTCTCTATTCTATTGCATTTCTGTGAATTTTTTCTGTACAAATTGATTTCTCCCACATACAATTGGTATTATAATTGTTTTGTTTAACCAATGCCCGAAGTTTAGTCAGCTATTGCCCTCTTTTCTTTTTCCTTCTCCGTGAGAGGCTTTTCCAATGGTTATGTACAGTTAATTAAATTAATTATGTTAGGATCAAATGAATTATAAATTATTCTCAACAAATTTCCTTATATTTAAGAATATTGATATGATCCAGACACTAGTAGATTTAACATATTCTAAGCCGAAAGGATGGTCCCAACCCCCGGAAATTCATGCCAAATGGCATTAGACTATTTGTATAGTTTTTCGAGTTTTAAGACTGCAAATAAAAATTGTAAAATGGTACAACCACTAGTCATGCCGTGTCGAGATCTAACCGCTGAACATAACTATTTAGATCCATGGAAAATAAATGGTGGAGAAAATAGAACTTGTCCATATTTTCGGTGAAGATAAAGTGTGTGAATCATAATTCGCATGGACCCGAAAATCTTCCAACCAAGAACCAGAAATAATGAAAACTTAAAGACAGAAAATTTATTAGTGTCCTTTTCTTGTGGAGTAGAAATTATTCAATTGACAAAGGAAATGACGGAACGTCGAAGCAAATTTTGCACCTAAACGCGGTCCCCCGAAAGTTTCTCAGGAATAAACTTTTGTTGGATTAGAGATTGAGCACCTTCGACAATTATCTTTATAACTTCACTTGCCGGTAAAATTTTCTTGATGAGGCCAACGCCTTGACCGGCATACATTGCCATGCTTTCAATGTCACCGGTAGTTGTCACGTTTGGAACAGTCCCAGCAAAACGACGAATCTCTTTTTCCTGAGAGCAGCAAATCAGGCCAATGAAGTTATATACAGGGGAATAAAAAGTTGCATATATTGACATGAAGAAAGTCGATATATTCACCATTCCATGTATGTTTGAACGGCCAATGATGGGTTGATCGGTCTCATTTTCATGATGCGGAAGAGTCCTCCAATCCATGAAGAAAGGAGTTTTTAATACACGTTGAGGAGCTCCTGGCCACCTGGCGCGGCCAAATATATCTGTGTACTCGGTTTTATCTAGTTCGACCAATTTCCTCTTGTAGATAGGGTGAGCATAGCTCTCCTCGGTTGCAAGGAACCTGTATCGTGTGTGTGGTCAATTCTTAAAATAGCATATCACGTCTAATCTTGAGTGTGCAATGCAAACACGGAATAGCACTCAAAACACGCTTCAAAGGAAATGCAGTCTCATACCTTGTGCCTAGTGCAACTGCCTGTGCTCCAAGGGCCAGAGCAGCTACATAACCACGCCCATCCACTATCCCCCCGGCAGCAATTACAGGAATGTCATGATTGCGGACAAGATCAACTACTCTTGGCAACAAGGTGAGTAAGGTATCCTGAAGAATTTCAACATAATAAGTGGGTTAATTGTAAGAAACTCAATTCAACCCTGATGAAAGACACTTCGTAAAGCTTTAATGACATGAAATGTTCCCCCGGTACAACCTCGCTCTAAAGAAACTTCAATCAGTCACAAAGAATGGCTTGTAAGAAATTGAGAACGGGAAAAAGAAAAAGAAAAAAAATCTATACGATGTGCTCGTGCAGAGCAAGTTCCAATTTTTACTTTTAGGATTCTTTAAAAAAGAGAACCCGATAAACCAGGAAACATGTGACAGGTATTCCATTTAACAGTTAAGCCAGCCTGTTTAGTGGTTCTTTTGCCCATTTTTGTTCATCCAGTTCATAACATATAACTGGACTTGGTTTTGTTACAGTTCCCGATTTTCCCCTGTTGAACCAGCCAGTCCGGTCTGGATTTTATAACATTGGTAAAAACATGAACACCGATGAAATGCTCTTGCCTTCGTGCCGTCAAAGGTCATGACTGCACATGCTAATTGAAGTCTAATGTAGGCTCATGCTCATTATCTTCACTGGGTGCATACATTTGAGTAGAATTCACTTCAAAAAAAATATGATAAGCTCTGCACCTCATATTTGATGACAATATAATGTAAAAGAAAATGCCAACTGCATAAATAAAATGTACAGAGACTATTTAGTGTAAACATACCACAGATACGGTGACTTCAAATAGGAAGCAATTGCAATAATTTTCAACTCTTTGAAAATATTGAGGCTCCAATAATTTGATAGTTGCCATAAGATTACATGAAGAATAGATAACAGAAAAGCAATTGTACCTGACCAATTACATGGCCTCCAGCTTCTACCCCTTGAACCATTATTGCATCTACACCCACATCAACAGCTTTCTTTGCTTCTTCGAAGCTTCCAACCTCAAGATAACAATACGGAAGTAACAAGATTCTCAGTAAGAAAATTAGGAAGCTAAATCCTCAAATACTATGACACAAAGTTCAGCTTCAATCTTTGTCTATCAAAGTGACAGCGATCGGCATGATTTTGAACTATTTTCAACACATGATGTGTAGTTTGAGGATGTGTTTAGAACTTACTTGAGGCACAACTTTCACCCCAGCTTGATGAGCCTCAAGCACAAGATCTTCAGAGCATTCTCCCCAGTAAAGCTGCAACACTGCAACCTTTTCATCCAGAATAGCCCTTATGTTTTCCTTATGAGGAAATGCCAGTACAACAGCCACCCCAAAAGGTTTATCAGTCAAGGTTCTAGTCTTCCTTATCAGTTCTCTTAGATGATCTGGTGCCTCCTGTTACACATGTGAATTCGATTAATTTATGTGCAGTTAGGCATGTGATTTACTTAAATGTTATACAAATCAAAACATAAAAATATGCAGAGAGACGAAACAAGTGGCAGTGGGTATTCTTCTCTTATCCCAATTAGGAAACCACCCAAAGGTATGGATCAAGAAAGGGGCAGCTAAAAAAGGAAAGGAAACGCTAATAACTGACTGAAAAATAAGAACTGACCCAATCTGGGGCTCTGAGAAGACCAAGTCCACCAGCATTAGCAACAGCAGCCACAAGCTCAGGACCCGAAATATCGGGTCCCAATGGCGCCTGAACTATTCCATATTCAAATCCCAATATCCCTCTCCAACCCATCCCTATATCTATCTTTCTCTAGAATGTAAATTCAGTAGGTGATATATCTATCTTTAGCTATATATAGACAATGATTTTAAGATGAGAAGTAAGAGCGGTACTGTATTAGAGCTGCGGGCAGAGGAAGTTTTCTCCTTCGATTCCACAACGTAAGCAGTCTTTTAATTTAGTAGTGCGCCTTAACGTAAGCCACGACGTATATTGGAATTTGTCTGTTTTCCGACCGCCGCATCTCCTATACATTATTGGACCCGCCTCTATAATTTAATTCAATCCAGAAAAAGTCACTTTCGAGATGCTTCAACTTGAATAGTAATGAAGGTTTGGCAATATCCTTACCTAGCCTAGTATATTATTTAAAGAGGAAATTACACAAAATCCGGTGTTTCAAGATCCAACTTCAAAAATTAGGGTGAATGTTTTTTTATTCAAAAATCAGGTGTTTGATATTTTAAATATTATATATACAAATTTCACCTTCAAACCTAAAAATCAAATATCACTCTCATCTCCCTCTTTCTCTCTCTTCTCGTCTCTTCCCGTCGTCTCTCCCTCACACGTGGCCGCCATCGACGAAGACCACAGCAGAGGGCGACGGCGCTCATCGATCTGTCCGATGGTTGACCATACTCGCTCTCATCGGACTGAAACCCACCCCCAGTCGACGACGACAAGCGGAGGCAACAGCGCCGCCTCGAGGACCTAGCTTCTTTCTCTCTTCTCAACCTCTACCGACGTCCAAACGCCCTTATTTGACTGCTACAAGCGACAGCAACACCAGAGACGCAATAGTGCTCACTGCTCGAAGCGGCGCAGCAGTAGCAGCGCCTCAGAAACACTGGCAGAGCTCTAGATTTTTAGGGAGTTTTTCGTTTTTGATTCATCTATTGTGCTATGGGTGCGGTGGTCGACAGTGGTGATGATGGTTGTTGTGGCGGGTGCTTTGCATGTGAGATGGCACAGGGGATGCGATCTGGTTGTGGTTGTTGCAGATCAAATTCGAAGAAATGAATTGACGGTTGTGGTTGTTGTTGGCAGCGGCTGCGACCGCGGTGGTGGAGTGGGACGAACCATGTAGCGGCTGCGGTGGTGGTGGATCTGGGTGATGGTGGTGTTTTGTGCAGCGACGATTTAATTGTGGTGGCGGATCTGGTGGTTTTGGAAATGACGGTATTACTACTGGTTGTCGTAGTGTTTGGGTGGTGGTGATGTTGGTCGTGGTGGTTGTCCTGTAGGCCGTGGCGATAGTGTAGAGGTGGTGGTGGACCTGGTGAATTTGGTTTTCTGTGACTAAAAATATAATTTGTGACCAACTATTTGTTACCTGTGACCTGAAAATTATATAATTTGTGACCGTGAAAAAATATGTGACCAACTAATTTTGAAATATGTGACCGTGTGACCTATAAATTTTTATCTGTGATCAACTAATTTTGAAATTTGTGACCAACGAATTAATTGTG